GAGTCGAAGGGAAATAGAGACTCCCTTTAGTGCCAGAAAGTGATGTGTTAGAATTTATCACATTTGCTCTTTCAATGGCATCATTCTATACTGTTATACAGTATTTTTCCATCTAGTTCACTGTACCATCTGTCGTCATACTAGGCATTATTCCTTTATGGAATTCTATCTTATATTTTAGTTAAACCATTGATTATGGGTCTTATACTTCTGTGTTCTAGAATTTACCCAGCATTTAACAAACTTGTGTTTTATGTCCACTTCACTATCAATAATGCTGTTAATTTGAATGCTTATCTTCATCCTTGTACTGTGCCATTGATGTTTGGTTCTTCATCAGAGTTTCTTATGCTCCACTACATTTTCTTGGGTTGTTGTCATCAAAGAACTACACTTTTATTACAAGGATGATCACAACACCCACTTGGGCTGACCAGGGTCCTTTTTCTCTGGGAATCATATGGATGATGGAAGACAGAAGCCATTTACCACTAACTCACTACCCGTGAGCAGTAAGATGATCAGAGGCATCTGAGGAATTTGCTTTCCTTGGGTGATAAGTAAAGTCAAGAAGAAGAAATCCTGGCCAACAGACAGCATGAGTGCAGTCTGCTGTTTTCCTTCCCAGTGGTGTCATGATAATGAGAGACACAAGTAACATTGCAATCGTTCTTCATCCTGTAGTGTCCTCCTTACATATTGTGCATTCAAGATTCTTATTACAAATCACTGGGAACATCTCAAGCTTCCTATCTACTCTAAAAGGCTACATTACCTAACTATCATTCCTTGGTTCCAACACAGGTAAGGTTTCCTTTCCTGGAACCCTGTGTATCTTGTCTGCGTCTGTACTATAATTTTTCAAACTGCCACGTAATACCTATGTAATCTACTTGTCTATTTCCTTCATCCCTCCAGGGTAAAAGACATTTCCTTTAAGTCTAAATTTCCAGGATGTTGCAGTGTGTATTCTCTCCGTAAATTCTTGTTGAATGAAAGAATAGATAATTGAGTGACTAACAATGAACTGTGCTGCAGAGAATTGCATCTATCTAGAGAGAAAAACAGCTAGTTGGCTAATTCTAATTCGATCTATACAAGGGATTGGAACTCAAAATAAGAGCAGCTATTGGTCTTTTCATTCTGGTGATGCCTTCTGTATTGTTGGTATGCTAAAGAATGTTTAAAATTCACTGTTGGGTTAATTGTGGACACAGTCTCAGCTTCTTTAAAGAAAGCACCTTATGCAAATCTATTAACACAGATTTGACAAGAAAATATGGCCCATTACCCGAAACTTACGTATTGATAAGTTTTCTGACCCAGACTCTCCAAAGATTAACTGAGGAAAACGTTTTAGATCATCACCAAGTTAATTTTAGAGACTGGGGAACAAAGGATGTTGCATCTAATGAATATGTAAATTTCAAAGACAGCTATGGTTAGGAAACTTCCCAAACACTAGGATACTAATAGAGTCATAGGATAGTCTCAGAGTACTTTAATGCAGTATTCGACTTTACAATGTTTTGCATTTGATGTTTGCCTTGTTTGTTTTGGCATGCAGACAATAATAATTTGTTATTAAGTGCCAATGTAGAACTATTCCCAATCAGGGTCATTTGCACTTTGAGCCCTTATTTTCAGAGTAAGTTCCAGTCACTGGAAATTCATATTACAAAATGTGGTCCTTTGTAAGCAGCTGCCTAACCTCCTAACCCCTTGAAAAACTTGCACCTGTTCCAGTATTGGGGGAATTGGAGAAAAGAGGGGGGCACTCCAAAATTTTTGAAAAGATGAGTCCTTTTGTGGGCCTCATGAACTGAGTGGTAAGCATTTGGTCTGTTTGGACTGCTGTTACATAAAACACTGATAACTGGATAGCATATAAACAGTGTAAATTTATTCAATTTTATTTTCTCCATTCTGAAGGCAGATTCAGTGCCTGATGAAGGCAGCATTCCATTCTCTGTGCTATGATGGATAGAATGAGGTGTGCAAAGCTAGTTCTTAGTCTTTAAGCTATTTCCTGAGGATTACACACTAATTGCCTAATCAACTCTCAGAAATCTCATTTCCTAATGACACAAGGTGTGTGTGTGTGTGTGTGTGTGTGTGTGTGTGTGTATTTGTACTACTTTCAACCTTGGTCAGAGAATTTTCTCTTTCTTCCTTAAAAAAGGACTCTTTTTATTTTTATTTATGTACGTAAATATGGGAAGTAAGGAGGTACATACTTATAGAGCAGTGCTCATGGAGGCCAGAAGAAAATCTGGGATCTCTTGGACCTGGAGACACAGGTGGTTGTATGTCACCTGATTAGGGTGCTGTGAACCAAAGTTAGGTCCTCTGGAAGAACACTACATGCTCATAATTGTTGAGCCATCTCTGCAGCCTCAGAAAGATTTCTTAATTGCAGTGGGTAGAGGCTAATGAAGAGATCACGCTTGTTCAAAGTGTTAAGAGCAAGTAGATGAGAGTACTGTATCAATCCCCACCCCAAAGGCTCAGGAGACACTGTGGAAGAGCAGACAGAAAGGATGTAAGAGCTGGAGGATAGGGAGGAATGCTTTGAAATTATGGTCTATGGATATGACGCAGTTCTTGCACAGCTAAATTGACAGGTGCTGTGGTGACTTGCACAAGATCAAGGCCAGCATAGACTGAAGAGCTATTGACAGCTGATGGGCATTGGATGAAGGACAGTCACTTTGTGGTTATGGCCACTGGTAGATTGGTTTTCTGTGCCCCAGTGGGTAACGTCACACTCATAAGCATGAGAGCAGCATTAAATGGACAAGGTGGGTTATATAACAACAACAACAACAACAATAATAATATTAATAATAAGATAAGAGGACATGAGCCTCGGAGGCATTAGGAGGGTCCCAGAAGAATTAGAGAGGGAGAGCAAGGATGGATATAGTCAAGGTATATACCTTCATGAAATTTGATAAGTAGATAAAATATTCTTAATTAATTTGTTTATTATTATTGTATGAGTGTATGATATGTGTAGTGGAAGGCACACATATATATGCCACAGCAACATATGGAGCTCAGAGGACAACTTCATGGAGGTGGCTTTCTCCTTCACTTTATGTGGATTTTGGAGATCAAATTCAAGTTGTCTTGCTTGTGCAGGAGGTTGAACCAGATCACCAATGCACAATTAGTCTTTAATAAAAAATAATATGGCATCCACAAACATTATAAAAACCAACAACAGTGGTATAAAAGATACTGTGATGTTGAAACCAATAGTATAACATTATGGAACTAAATACATAAGCCACAGGGATTTTAAAGATGAGACATGAGATCTTAAAATAATGTGAAGTTTTTAATGGAATCTGTTTTTGGTGGAACTTTACCAATCACCTATTTTAAAAGCCTAGTAAAGACTCATCTAGAAAGGAAATTTCCAAGCCTGCCTTTCCCAAATTTTGGGATCTATTGGTTCTCAGAAGACATACTGGACTTTTGTGCTTCAGCAACTGTATCCTTGCTGGTTTTCCTGTGTGGGCATTTCCCCCTTCCCTTGCTAACTTTTTCCTTTGTTCCTTCACCCCTACCTTCCTACCTTCCCTTTCCTGCAGCAGACCCTTGAGGATGTCCACCCTGCCTCTGTTCTAGAAGGCCTAAGGATGTGCCTAAAGGGACCCTTCACATATAGAGAAGAGAAGGAGAACAGCCATAAACAAACAAACAAACAAACATGAATTAGAGTGAACACATTCCTTATTATGCATGTAAAACTAAGAAGAACACTTTCCCCATATAATTGTCTTATATCATATGTGAATTTTGCTTGCTTCTTTTAGACAGGCTTTCACTCTCTTGCCCTGGCTTGTCTAAAACTCATAGAGATCTGTCTCTGTTTACTGTTGTTGGGGTTAAAGACATGCCAATACAATATGAATAATAATAGAATATTTATTTAACTCTATTATATTGACTTTACTTGTGCTAGTTAAGAGGAAAAGATCAATAGGTAGTGTGCCTTATTACCATACAAATATGAAAGTACATTCTAAGGATGCTGTCACTAATGGCACACGTATTTTATCATCTTCAACAATTATAGGTTGGTCTCTTCTAACCATAATAGATGCCTAGTGCTGTCATACCTATCTCATCTTATAGAAGAGGCTTTGTGTATATAGCAGTACAGTACTACCTGTGGTAATTACAATTTAGAAAAAAGTCTTTATTAATTCAGATTTCCCAGTCCTTAGAATAGGGGTTGGGACCAAATTTACCTTTTTTTATTGCAGGCTGCTTATACAAAGACTAGCTAGTAAATATACTAACTAAATTGTTTGTAGAAGAATTGCTTACTGGGCAAATTTTAGAGCCTTGAATCCCTAGCATGGTAAATGCACTCTAAGCAAAAGCTAGGGACTGCTTAGGTAGTTATTTTGGCATTAAAGTACAAATCATCCTTAACTATTTTTTGAGGCAAGACTTCTGGACAGTATCTCTTTATCGTAATTCAATTGGCAACATTTATTTGAAAAATGATAAAATATTGTTGCTGTGATATGCATTGTTTCACTCCAATATTTTATCATATTGGGCAGCTCTCCTTTCTACCAGCTTGCATTCAGCTCAATTTAGTGGAATAAGTGCAAAAGGATAGGTCACAGGAGTAAATCTCAATTAGACCTAAAGTTCCAATACACACATCCATTACATTTCTTTAAAAATGCTTTATAATGTCAGGGTTGGCAGCAAATCAATAAATTTCAAGCATGATAAATAGCAGGATAATTACCTCTGAGCAATAAACAATATCAAGTTAGTTCAGTTTTACTCAGTCTAGTAACAGAAAAATCACTGTATCTAGCATTGTTAATGTTTCCTTGGGAGTTTTTCGATATATCAAGGTATGGAGATAAATGTCTCACTCACCACTATTCATCAGAGAGAAAATATTCATTATGGTCCAGGAAATGACCCCCATTGCAGTTGAAATGTATAGTAAAGTCATGTCCTACCTGGGTTACTTTCTCTGTCACATTGTGCGTTCGCTCTTTGACTTTGGGTGCAATAATAGTTTTATCTGAAGAAGGAGGAGATGTATTCTTTTTTTCAGTTTTGACATCTGAAAAGTTCAGAGTGAGCTGAGGAATCTTGTTGATGGTGCTGTATTTGTTGAGGTTTGAATCCGACGTGGACCCCAGCAGACTTGACTTGATATGATTAAAGGGCCCTAGGAAAATTGGAAAGTATTTGTAAAAATAGTATCATCAGAAGAAATAGAAAAAAAAAGAAGATGGTCTTTAATGCCTGGCTAATGATCCATGACTGATTCCTGTGACTAAGTGTAGTTAATTTATATGTGAACACCTTTTGCCACAAAGGACATGTGGGAATCAAAGAGAAAATTTTGGTACTAGAAGTGCAAATGTCAATTTCTGCTGTGAACTGGCTTCTTATATTAAAGGCTGGGAAAAAGAAAAACAAAACAAAACAAACAAAAAGCCCCTCATTCCCGGCTACTGACTGGATTCTGCCTTATATCTTCTCTGTAGACTTTCTTTCCTATTCTGGGGGTGACTTAGGGAAGCACTGGCCAACTTAAAACCATGTTGGTCTTGAAATTTATGAATGGTTTGTTCACACAGTTTTTGTTTAAGTTACTCTCTCCAACATGTCACTGAGAAGTGACAAACCAGTTGTTTTCTTTAAGTCTTCTACCACCTATATGAGATGATACATGGAGTTTCTATAAATTTATGACTAGATGGAGTTGAAGATGACCAAGTGTTTTGCTTGTGTTTGTTTGTGTGTGTGTGCACTCATGCTTTCTCATTCTGTTGAAATCTTCAGGATACTTTTTGGGATCTTGAAGTCTTTGTTTTCATGTTATTTTCAGTTACATTAAAAAAAAAGAAGAAAAATCCTGTAACTAAACTCCACAAAGATGTTGCTATGGCAAACACAACTTAAAGTAGACATAACCATGGTCAGGAAACAGATCATGTCTGGGTTGGAAGCTCCCAGAAGCTTCAGCATTCTGTTCTTACAAACACAACTGGGAAGAGGCCAAGCTCCCCGGTTCCCTTAGTGGAGATGAGGAGCCTGAGCAATGCCATCTTCTTTAGGGATGAATCTATTATCTGCTATTTATGATGTCAAGAAATGGTCTGGAGTTCTTATGTGTTGGGTTCATTGCTTACTCCGAGTGATAGCTCCTGAAACTTGGCATCATGAAGAACTGCTTAAAATTCCTAAGAGCATGACTGTTACACAGTATATTTTTAACTGAGAGAGTGGGGGTGTGTGTGGGGAAGACTCCTTTTTAGTTGCTTCTGCCCATGTTGTTATCTGATGTTCCCCTACCACCACCATCCTCGGGTGCTTCCAATTGGTGCCTGAAGTAATCAGGTCTCAGGGTTATCAAAGGCTAGAAAGAAGTGATCCTAGGGTTTTATCCTCTCCTAGGCAGGGCAGACATTCCTTAGTGCCCACTATATTATACCTGAACTGAAATGCCTGATCAAGTGTTACAAGAGCCATAAAATTAAAGTTTGACTCATAGCAAAGTGGTGGTTGTAGGACAGGGAAGGGAAATACGTTATTATAATCTTTTTAAAGAGTATGATAAAAAAAAATGTGTGTATGATGGTGTATTACTTTAATCCCAGCACTTGGCAGGCGAATCTCTTTGATTGGAGGTCAGCCTGGTCTGTATAATGAGTTCAGGCCAGCCAGCCAGGGCTACATAGTTGCTTCTGCTCATGTTGATGTCTAATCTTTTTCTACTACCACCATCCTCTGGTGTCTCCAATTAGTGCTCCAGTCCTGGTGCCTGAAGTCCTTCAAAAATTAAAAAGTATAATAAAAATGTATTTCATAAAAAATGTATTTCATATGGGATTTTCCTATTTTGCATATTCTTTGCCTCAATTTTAGGCACATTTGTTAAATTTATAACACATGCTAGGACTTTGAACTTCTTGGATACTGTTGTCTTCCTTCTCACTGAAATGCTTTATTTTCTTTCCCTGGACAATTCATCCATACCTAGGGATATGATTAAGAGACATAGGTGGTAGCATTCAGGCATACAGTGAAGTTCTATTAAAATCATTTTAGTCTACCTTTTGAATTTATGTTGAGATCACCCTTCTTTATCTTGTATTTCTGTAGGAAATTGTCTACACAGATGATCTAGGATGTTAATAAGCAGGCAAAATATGTTAGTACAGTTTTATTGCCCTTATGGCTATTTCTGATCAGTCCATAGAATTAGTTATAGCTATGGACACAGGTTCTGAAATATTGCACCCAGGGTACATTTGTCAGAGTTCCTTTTGGTTGTCATAATGATGGAATATTTTGAACACCACAGTTCTTATCCTCATTTTGTCAAGCCATTGCATGTGTTTCTAGAGCTACACCTGTCATGGGCATGGAAGATCATACACTATGTCCTCACATAGTTGTGGTAGAGTATGTCTCTATTTTGGAATATTATGTTATCTAAAATTTCAATCTTGTAGCATTTGAGTGGTCAACACAAAATCTTAGAGTTCTAGTGATAGTTTTCATTTACATCTGACACTTATAAGCATGTGAAATAAGGAATTTGAGTCTTTTTTGATAACTAGAAGCAAATAATAAATTTCCAAGTAGTTACCAGAGTTATACTGAAGTATAAGTATGCCTTTAAAATATTTTACATCACTATCCCTTTCTAATTAACTATTGGTGTGTGTGTGTGTGTGTGTGTGTGTGTGTGTGTGTGTGTGTGTTATGATTACCTAGGGAGGACATGTAGAGGCCATAGGTAAGCTTTGAGGTTTCTTCTTCTAATGTGAGGGGAAGAAACTTCAGTCAGTACTCTTGATCAGTAAGTGCTTTGTTAGAAAGTTTTTCAATGTGAAGATGAAAATATAGCTTAACATTTGGTAATGTGTCTGTCTTCTGTGCAAATCACTGTTATTAAATTTTATTATAAAGGGAAGGACTTATGAGAATATCATACTTCCTAATTTCCCTTTCATGTTTTCTTGGTTTATTATTATTCTGAGTATTTGACATACATTTAGAAATTTGTTAAATACTGATTTTATCATTGAGTATGACTGCTCTCCCACTTTACTATCTTTATATGGGGTATTCAATATTGTCCTTCCTTAGTTTTTTGAAAGCAAAGTTTTTCTACTGTCATTATATGTCCTTAGTCTATTTATATTCAAATGCTAGCGTAATAATACACATATTGTCTGATTATAAACTGCCTTGCCTTCATGAGCCCTTCATATTAAAGTTCTCTAACTATTATTTTAGGAATGCCCAACTGTCTCTCAATTCAGTTTCAGGAAAGTCAAGTTAGTAAAACAAAATACTTGCTGAGGAAAAGATTATTCAAGGTAGAGCTGAGAAACTCTTTGATAAAGTGTCTTACTCAGGTGTACCTCTGAATCTGTAACCTCCTTATAGTCCTTATTTTAGCTTCTATAGTTAATGTGGAAAAAATATCTCCTACATAGTCATTTCATTCAATTTGTTTTGGACTTTTAGTCTAAAAGAGTTAATGAAGACTTTAGTTTGAATGAATATATGTAATGAATTCATCATAACAGTATATCTAAAATTATTTATGTAGTATCACTCAGATAAGGCATCCTAAGCTTTTCTTCCTCCTGTATAACAAAAAAAACCAGAGTTCTTCTTTCTCTTGATTTTGAGTCAAGTATTTATACCTAGAAGTGTTTTAGATTCTACAAACTATAGTCCTTACAGATGTCTCCAAAGTTTATATAAATTCCAATGGGAAAAATTCCCAATGCTTTAAGGCAGGGCTTTGTAATATTCTTTTTCACCAATTCTAAACTGAGATGACAGAATATGAGGTCAAAGGGGGTATGAATCAAAGACCAGAAATCAAAGTACAAGGTTTCCTACCTCCTAGGTCTACATTCAGAGGGGCCTTGGCTGAGGATTTAGAGTTGATGGGCAGCCTCACTGACAATGATCATGAACAGATGGGATTTGGGAATCTAATGAAAGGAAGGAGATTAGCCTGAAAAACAAAGTAAATGAATTTAAAGAGAAAGAGCAGGCAGAAATAAAGGGACATGATAGATTCAGTTGAAGGGAATGTAAGACTCAGAAGTGGACTAGGAGACTGACATTCTTTGAGGGACAGTTGCAAGAGGGATAACAATGTGAGTATGCCAGTGTGTGATTAGAAAAATGGAAAGCAGGTGACCAGGTAGAGTACAGCCACAACTGGGTAAAGTTTAGTACAAGTACCTTATGAACTTATAAAATAAGCTATGTTTTCCAACTATGCATAGAGATTCAGCAATAACTAAGAAGAATTTTATATTTTAAAAATACTTAAAATGTATATGATGAGACTAAGTTTATCAGAAATAAGAGAATGCTTTATTAATTATTATTGTTGTCATTGTGTGTGATATTTGTATTTATGGGAACAAATGTCAAGGAATATGGATATGGACATCATAGGATGATTTCATGGAACTGGTTCTCTCTTTACATGGTTTAACATGGTTTTTTGGGATCAAACTCAGATTGTCAGGCTTGTGCTTTCTGGCAGCAAGGACCTTTGTTATCTTGTTGTACATGTACAGTATCTTTTAGAACATAGAGTTTATTTTGTTAAATGTAATGAAGTACACTACTAGTGCATATTTATATTAGTGAAAATGCCAGTGTAGCATTGTCAATGAAGCTTTGCCAAGGAACCCTGTGAATAAGCATCAGTCAGAAAGTGTTATAGTACTCAGCAAAAGACAAAAAACACTCCTCAAGTTATTTGGATTCAGTATCTACAAATTGTGTCCCACTGAGTGACATATAATTTGCCAGACAAATTGTCACCACTAAGAATCAATTTGTAAATCCTGGTAAGATCATAGGCATCTGGGTAAAGGCCAACGACTTATTAGAAACAAGTTCTGTCAAATCTGTCTCTGTCCCTGTCTCTGTCTCTGTCTCTGTCTCTCTCTCTTTCTGTGTGTGTGTGTGTGTGTGTGTGTGTGTGTGTGTGTGTGTGTGACTGATATGCTTCCTGGCTTCAGTGGAAGTGATTACTCTTAGTAATCTTGAGAGCAGTTTGGTTTTTAACTCATGGTAGTGTAATGTACTAGTTGGAAAGTAGTAAACATGTAATAGAAATCTGAGGTCTTAGGAAACAATATAGGGGCACAACTTTATCATGGACTTACTAAATAGGATGAGAGGAGTAAATGTTTTTTCTATGATTTAGAATGCAGAACACATGAAAAAATACTTGATGTGAGGTGATTTGTGAGTGATTGAATTAGCATTAGAAATCTTCACATTCTAGAGATATTGCCTCATAATATATACACACGTTATGCCATTTGTTAGAAGTAGCTTTCCTCCTTCTCACAAAGGGGTTACAGTTTCTAAAAATAACACGTAACTGTTGTTTAAGGTGTCAGAGTGCTAAAGAAACTTATTGAAGGGAAACAGAATTGATCTGAAGAAAAAGATTGTGTGGAAATTATTTAGTGTTGGGAGAAAAGACTGAGTGCTAGCTTACTGCCTTCTGTTGGTGTGACTTTATGCTTAGAATTCTTGAAGTCAAAGAATATATCCCTGTCCACTGTAGACAGACAGAAGGAAGAATTTAAACTAATGCTGCTTCTCTGTGGAATGGGAACTAAAATGGACTTTCCAAGACAGTTCACATATGGCCTTTTCTGAAAACAAAGATGGCTGTACTCCTTGTGCAAAGGAATTAGGCAGAACCTAGCTTTAAGGGGATCACTCAGGTAATCCTGCAAATCCTTTGTATGTATTACTAGGTTATTTATGCTGTTTTGTAGTTAAGTGAGTTTTGGTCAAAGTGGTTGATCTTGAATTGTAATGATACATTATGTGTTTAAAGCAGTGTAGAAATGTACTATTCTTTTATTTACTATCTTATTTATTATGGCTTAGAGTCAGTATTGATTTACTTTACAAGCACACTTTGATGGATCATCATGTGTCTATTTGTAGTTTTATGAAAATGGCAATTGTAAATCTGATGCTCATCTGAAATATATGCACACACACAAACAAAACAAAAACAAAACAAGCTTCAACCAGGCAACTGGAATTTCTATTATGAAACAGAGAGAATAAGGTTAAAGTTTGGTTTAATGGAATAGATAACGAAATTAAAAGAAAATGGCTTTATTTGTGACAAATAAATGAATTGGTGGTAGATTCTCTCTTCCTTCCCCTTTTCTTTCTTTCTCTCCCCCTTTCTTTCTTTGGGTGCTAAGGATCTGATCAGAGTTCACAGATACAAGCGTTCTTTCTGCTTCTGAATTATATCCTCATCACTGGACCACTAGTTTAGGGGATAAGCCAGGCTTATTTTTACCTATTTTTAAAAAACTAGATTCATTTCTCATTTTGGTTAAAAAAACTCACTGGAAAATAAGTGTCTACTCATTTACTCATCACAAGCATTAGTATGTCCAAGGACCAAGCAGGCAGCAGATCTTTACGTTTGCTCTGAGGATTCATTCTGAATTGTCATGTAAAACCTGCACCTACAACTAGAATTAGTTTGCTCCCTCTTAAAAGTCACAATGGACAGACTAAGGATGGAATAACCGTGTACATAAAACCCCATCTCATTATTGGAGGTCTCTTGCACAGACCTTTCTTAAAGTGCTTACAAAATGATAGGAAAGGCAAAGGAACCATTCCCATGATTTTGTTGATCTCCAAATTATCCCTGGATTCTGATCACATAACATCTATAGTCTCTAGTACTGCTCATTTATCAGCAACAGCAATTCCAAATTAATTAGGGAAGCAATTAAGAAGTCAGTACACAAAACCGCACAGTGGTCTGAGTGCCATTGACATAAAGAAGAGGCCAAGACAGTAAGGTTTGAGGAATGATGGTTACTGGTGGAGACATGTTCATGCAACAGACATGCACAAGATGGATCACTGTCACCATTTACACACCCACAGTGGCATGCACGGCCAAAGATCAAGCCAAAAGTTCTGATCCTTGCATCTACTGTGATAGCCAGAACAGAATTGGATTTCACATTTTAGCCAAATTCAGATTTATCCAGAGTATCTCCCAATTAAACGTTACCCCGTGGTAGCTGTAAACCATGCCAGTGATTGGAATAATACAGAATACATTTTAAAATGATCGAAATATAATAGAGGAAGAATAGAAGGTGACTCTCATGCAAGGACAGTGTACTACTACAGTAAGCTTAAAACCATACCCCCTGCCATCCAGGAACGTGAAACTAGTTTTAAGGAAACAAAAGAGGAACAAGTGAAGTAATGCTGTCATAGAGCTCTTTGATCATTTTATTTAACCTTGTACTCAAGATAAAACAAAGTCCCTGAAACAGCTTATGTGCTTCTTTGACACTGGAATGTATCCATCTTGATACTTGTTTCCTTCCAGATATTTATGAAGTGTTCACCGTCAATCTTACATCCTTTTGCTCAGGGTAAAAAGGTGTTCACCATCACTTTGATGGCACAGCAGAGAAAGTAATCATGTCTCCAGCAAAACCAAGCCATGATGTCTCCACCAGGCACCTGGACTAGCTGAGGGCAGCATGGAGATGTGGCATCAACAGGGCATACGGCAGGCAAGTTAACATGCCAAGTAAAGCATCAGATGGTGAATTTGAGTTTATACTTTACCTTTGACATTGCGACCATTGTCTGTTTTGAGCATACAAGGGTAAAAGAGAGAGAAATATAAAAAAAGAAGACTAAAATTATGTTAAGCACACCAAACTAGCTTAGTAGAAACAATCAGAGAAACCAGGACGTAAATACAGAAAATATAATTTTGATTGAGGTTAATATAGATCATTAACTAGGCAAAATGCACAAACTGAAATATCAGCTATAATAAATATTGGAAATAAGTGAAATACTTACATTGCTTAATTTAAACAAATTGTAAGTAACAGATTTTCTAATTACAGCATTTGGGGAAAAGTTCTGCACAGTTACTGGCAATTGTGGCAATTTACAACCTTGTCAAAAGCCAATTTTGATGTTTCCTTAACTGTAGATTGTAACAAATCAAAGGAAAATCACACAACATTTTGCATGTCAAGTTATTTTTTCCATGTACTTAAATCTTAGCATATTAGTAAGGAAAAATGTTTAGTAAAATGGATTACTAAATATTTGAATTATTTAGAACACTTTATTAGCTGTCTGTTTACCGTCAACTGCTCTTTGCCATATCTTAAAATACCAAGCAGTGTTTAATGAGTTATTCCTAGACAAAAAATTGTAACGTATCACTAAACACTTTGTTGTACAAAAAATTTTGCATTTTGTCTATGCAGTATAAAACCTAGAATATTTATAAATGTGCTCATATTAAAGCAGGGTGTTGTCAAATCTTGGCATAGAGTGTTTTCAGATTTATTTTGAGAGTAGAAATCTAAATGTTTCTTATGTGGTACTAAAAATATGTATTAATATGTGTTACCAGCTTTGAAATACACAAGGTTAAAATAAATGTAGTCATAATAAAGCATTTATATAGATACAAGATTTGAGAAACGTATACATTTGTTGCCATCTATCTTATCACTATGCATATTCAAAATTTTGGGATAGAACATAATTGTTTCCAAGATTATATTGAAAGTAATTCCAATACTGTGGTTTATGAAATTGTTAGAGAAGGCATAAAATGTGACTTGCAGTGGCAACTTCCTTCTCTCCTTTAACAAATCATTTTTTAAAAGGACCATCAGAAAAGTCTATGTTTACTTAGAAATAATTTCACCCTCAGAGCTGTCTATAATCATTAGCAAAGTAGTAACTGATTTGCAAGTAGTTAGAAAAAAATTATAGATGGGGCTGGAGTTTAGCTTGGGAGGAGAGCACTTGATTAGTATTTATGTGGCCCTGGGTTTGATCCCCAACACTACTGAAAACTGCTAATATAATGCTTGCTGTACAACACATACACATACACACATGCATACACGGGCAAGCACACTGACATGTGAGTACGCACACATACTCACACTTACTTGTAAGTGCGCGCGCGCGCGCACACACACACACACACACACACACACACACACACACACACACACACACACTAAGCCCAGATCCTATAAAGACAAATGGTAACAAAGCTAGCATAGAGTTAGTGAAGCGTTGACACTGAAGAATGAGAAGCTTGAAGACTGAAATGAGTTGACAGTTCTTTGTTATTTCTTCTATGTCCATCAGTGGTTTTATTTAATTAACTGATTGATTTTCAGATAATTTTTCTTTCTGAAGTTAAAGTACAAAACACCCTATACATTTACTAGTCTGAAGTCACATAACAACTGTGCCATGTATAGTACCAGCAATATGAAGTGCAGACTACTTAGACACCTTTGCAGTATTATGGCAGACTTTCATGTCTTTTAAGTATAATGAAAAACAAGTTGAAATTTATATTTTCTATGAATACTTTTTACTTTCCTTTTTATAATACTACATTTTTTCTAAATTTTCATAATGTTAACTTGGAACTTATCACAAAAAAGACTCACATTTTTCTGTAATATGTGCCTTAGGAAGGAAAATTCCAGGGTACTTTACAATAGACATATATAAGAAGATTCTATAAAATACCATGTACTAGTATGCTTATAAAATATTTACAGTACTCTAAAGATAGAGTATGTAAGAGCACACTACTGTGTGGAATGAGAACATCTCAACTCCAACTCTGGTGCATCTAGGATTTTATATATTAATCATTTTCAAGGCTTCATAAAACTAAAACTAATTGTGAAGGTTTTCCATCTATTTTTACTTATCCTAGGTTTCTCAAATATATAGAATTATATGGCCCTAGGAATGGTAGTTCCTTTAAAGCCATCAGTGATTTTTTTAGGAAAGATCATTTCATGGTTGAAATACTGTGGTTGAGTGCCCTGTGAGTTTATCAATTTGGAGCACAGTGACCGAGGCATTCGTAGGAGAGTGAAACTGCTGAAAAGTGCCTAGCCCAAAGAGAGGAGGAAAATTGAGAATGATCTTATCATCAAGCATATGTATACACAGATCCTGTCCTGAGAAATCTAAAAAATATCGTCACCCTCTCCTATAATTGTATTAGTAACTGTATACTACATGAAGACCATCCAAGAAGAAAATAACAAACATAAGTCATAAAACTTGATATGAAATACCGAGATGTTTCTTAGAACCAGGTGAAGCATGTAGGATGTGTTGAGTCAAAGATGTCTGATTTTCTAAGTAATTATTGTAAACCCAGTTTCCTTTGAGAAAGCTCTAAAGATTCAGTATGTTTGCTTAAAAAATGAATATAATAATTGGTATATTATCTGAAACACCACTGAATTTATTGTAATTTATCTTTAGGACTCATTGTCCAAACATCCGGGTTTCATTCAGTCAGAAAATATTGAATCCACCATTCCTAAGTGGTCTGGAGCATAATTACCTAGCTTAGGAATTGTCTTTGATTTTTCTTTTTCTTTGGAGTTTCCTCAGACCATAGATTAAAGCAGATGTGCTAATTGCTATTGTACTGTAGTTTCTGCTGTTTGTCGTATTCCAAACTACTCTTTCTGTTCCGAGACAGTTTCTGGTTTTTGTCTTGCTTTGAATTCCTTTCTCACACCCCCGCCAACTTTTCTTTCAGCTCTTCTGTCTTTTCTATTTCACTGTGCCCTTTAGAAAGACACCCTGTGACTCAACACTAAGGTTTTGGTTTAAATCAGTACATGTGGAAGAAGGAGCTCATTATGTCCTCATGAGTATGACAATGGAGAATGACTTGTGTACACAGTCCTCTCAATGCCAAAGCAATGGTATTGAGTATCTGTCATAAATAGAATACTGGGCAGTAAAGTGCTGGTCAAAAGTGGCTCATAACATCTTATTTGTTTTCGCTTATAGCTATACTTGATCTATATCTGCATGTCTCTCCATGTGTGTTATGTATAATACATGCATGTATGACTGTATCTATACATGTTGGTAAAATATGTACTACTTTTGAAAACTCAGCTTTCATTTCATTCAGGAAATTCCTCTGGTTTGGGAAAGGGGAAACCAGTGCTTGCAGCTTAGTAATAGTATAAACAGGGAACAAACAGCTAAGTGGACAGATAGAACAAAGTACTACAAGAGGAAAATGTATGGTATGGTTTTGTGAATTCGCAAAGTATCTTGGTGTTAGCAGCCTCCAAAGGAGGAAGCTAAAACTGAGTCTTAAAAAGTAACTTTATTCATTGGGTATAATGGTTAGGATGCCATAGTAAAGAACCTCATGTTCAGACTTACATTTTTGAAAAGACAACTGACAACAGCTTAGGTGGCAAAGCCACTTCAAGGAATGAGGATCTGGGAAAGGGTTGGAGAAGAGTGTCTGAGCATCTGGACATGATACTCTGACTCTCAGATTTCCTGGACTTAGTGAAGTCTCCTGGGGCAGCAGTGAAGGAGGGTAATTGTTGCAGGGAGGCAGTACATTTCCCTGTGGAAGTTGTTTAGTTACCTATAAAGGAAGCTTAAAACCAGTTCCTAACCAGTGAGAGTTGTTATGAGATTTAAAGGTGTGCAAAGCATTTACACTGCCTCAGGCATCCCAGCTACTCACAGTTATCCATTATCATGCTAAAGATGGATTGTTTCTAGCTTTCAAAGCCCACCTTTCATTCTGGCCAGTTTAGGAACTTGAGGAATGTGAGCCAACCGGTTAGAGAGAAAATGAATTCTGACTCTGCTTTCCAAGTTGCCCAGTGAGTTTCCCCACTAACCTATTCTTTTTTTCCCACCTGTCTCCCACCACTGATGGTCAATAACACAGTCTTGTGAGGGCACACTGTTCTTTCTTTCAGGGTCTGATCAATTGCCAAACTCAACAAAATTAATTATGCTTAAGATGATAGAATCCATCACCTAATCACATCTTAAATTAAGCATTAATTAATTAACACACCAGGAAGCAGGCTGATAATGGTTATACTATTTCAGAAACACTGATAAAGAAGCCAGAAGAAACCAAATTACTTGCTGGGGTTCAAAGAGGAAATGAAAAAAGATCCTTAATGCAAGATTGGTGTTTTTAATAGCTTTTAATCACATTTCTTCTTTGAAGAAACCAATAGCTGTTCAATTTTGAAACAATGTGAAAATAAACTTCAATTACCCAATTAAAAAATGTTACCATGTTAAAAAAGTTAAACATACCTTCACTGGCATGTCGATCTCTAAATATGTTCTTGGGGTGGACACTGAAGCCTTCTATATCATGAACGGAAGATGCTCTCCGTATGCTGCAGAGGCTTTCCCTTGATCTGGAGTGTGTTAGGCGGGAACTTGATTGCAGCATGTCAGGGTAGAGGCGGTCCCATTGCCTTTTGGGAGAGGAATGGTCCAGAGGTCCAGATATGTTCACTAAGGGAGAACACTGGCTAGGCTGTATCAAGGCTTTTGTATCATCTGCTTCAGAGGGACTGCAACTTTCTTTTGTGGGAGACTTAAAGTGTTTCATGGCCACAGAGTCATCACTGTGTTTAGATGAATCAATGACTACCACATCAGGGTCTTCCTGTGGCAAGGACTGCTTTCTGTATGTTAGAACTCTTAGCCCGGGAAATTTGAAACCAAAGAGTTTCCCTAGAAAGGAAGACAGAAAAGAGTATTCTCACACTGTGAACATATACTTTAAAAGTAATAAACACAATCAACTCATATTTAAATACCATATGAAAGAAGTGCTGTATTCAATACTACTAATACTATTAAATAGCCAAGTATATATTTTTTAATTTATTTTTTTTTATTTTCCAGTTTAAATTTAGATAAGAAACAAGGTTGCTTCACAAGTCAGTTCCAGGTCCCTCTCCCATTCCCTCCCCTCCTCCCGTGCCCTCCCCCCAAACCCCCCCCCCCCCCGTTATCCCCTCATTTCCCCAGGGAGGGTGAGGCCCTCCATGGGGGTGTGCATAGTCTGTCATTTCATATAGGGCAGGGCCTAGACCCTTCCCCAAGAGTTCAGGGTGAGAGTGCACCTCACATTGTTCTATGGGAGTCCAAAGTCCGTGTGTATACTTGGGATGGGTACTGATCTGCTGCCCAAGGCTCAATAGATTCCCTAGGCCTCCTCACTGACACCCAGATTCAGGGGGTCTTGATCAGTCCCATGCTGGCTTCCCAGGCTGATGCCTGGGATTCAAGAGTTAACCTTTGTCTGGTCAGCTGTTTCTGGGGGTTAAACCAGCCCAGTCTTAATCCCTTTGATCATCAGTCCTCCCTCTCTGTTACTGGCTTTCTTGAGTTCAGCTCAGTACTTAACCAAGGGAGTCTGCCTGTTCTTTGATCAGCCACTAAATGAAGTTTCTGTTTCCCAGACTCTCTGGCCATAGGATTGTAGGCTGGCACTCCCCAGATCTATGTCTAAAATCCATATATGAGAGAGTACATGCCATGTTTCTCTTTTTGTGACTTAGCCAAGTATATTTAATCAATTCTGCTCTAATGAGAAATATGGTAAAAAGTTTTTCTGAGAGCAATGTGGAATCTATCTATCTATCTATCTATATACATATATATCTTGTTTTTGATAATTACAAAATACCTCAATGAATCGAAAATCTTACTTACATGACAAAAATCCTTCAATATTGAATAGATTAAAAACATGTATTCAGTAAGTACCCACAATTTATATAGGAAAAGAAAGAACCAATGTCTCATATCAAGGGACACACACAGGAATGATTGGGTATATAAGGTGTGGTAAAGTTATTGATAGTAGTAGAGAAAGACATGAGCTTGCAAGTGCTTTTAGTTTTGTCTTTAATAGTGTTCTAAAGTTCAGTTTGGAATTTACTATATACCAAAAGCTTCTTGATCCATATGGTAATCTTAAAAAGGTATTGGCTACCAAAAGAGATGTAAAGATAAGATGCATCTATATATTCATTTATCTTACATTTGTCACAATGAGATCCTGCACTTATATCAGAGTGGATGACGCACTGAAAAGTCATGTAAATATAAATAGTAAAGAGCTAATATTAAACTGTTGTACCCAAATTCTAAACCCTCAAATCACCAAGAGGCCCATTTCGATGAGAAATCACGAGGCAGGGGTCTTATAGGGCAGCATAAGGGGAGTGTCTAGGGTTATCCAACAGTCTCAGGATCGGTGCGCTTCCAGGCTTGGACAACCTGCCCTGTGCTGAATGGTCAACTGGTTGTTATGGCCCATAGACCCTCCCAAGGCGGTTGCTATGCTCTACACATCACTGTTGTGCACTTGTCCGTAAAGCACACCGAGAACCATAAAGCACAGCCCTTCTAGCTAACTTCTGATTGGTTCCTTGCCATGAGGAGGGCATCTGACCTCCTAGTGACCAGGACAGGAGTGGCAAGGTCAGAAGAGAACATGTTAGCCTGTCATGGCTGCTAACATGGTGTGGGATGTGGGAGAATCCCTTCAAAACTTCTAAATAATAGCTAAGTAAACAGATATTGAGGAATCAAGTATTAAAATATTAAATAAATAAACCCATTAGTAATGGAGTTGCAAATTAAACCAGAAAGAAATTATCTTTTCTCCCTTTCATTTAGCAGGATAAAGGGGCTGGAGAGCACAGTATTTTTCTTGACTACTCTGAGGGTTTGTTGCTGGGATTGCGAATCCCTACAAACCCTTTGGGAGGTTATCTGCATCTATCTATCTATCTATCTATCTATCTATCTATCTATCTATCTATCTTCTGGAATGAAAAAGAAAGTACACATTTCATTTGACATAGTAATTCACATTTAAGTTTCAAAGACACAGAAGTAGAAACCATCTAAAGTTTCATTAAAAAGGACACTAGTTGAAAAAATTATAGCATTTTTATAGTGTTTCATGAGAAACTTAAGATACTAGAAAATTTGCATGCTTTAAGCGAAAGCCGTCAAAATGTTTTGTTTGTTTTTGTTTAAAAATGAGACAGGCTGTAGACCTGGCTGTCCTGGAACTTGCTCTATAGGCCAGACTGGCTTCTAACTGAAGAGATCCACCTGCCTCTGCATCCTGAGTGCTGTGACCACCATTGCCTGGCAAAAGTTGTTCAAATGTATTTTTAAGAATAATATACATTTTGACTTCATATACTTCTAATATTGTTTTTGATAAAAAATCAATAATTTATTTGCCCAGTGAAGGGGATTGGAAGCAAACAATATGCATTGCATTTTTACAGACATACATTGTTGCATTGATTATGCTTTTTAAGAATAGAATTTAAAAAGTAATAATGAAAGTAAACTTCCATTCTCAAAGGAAATAAAAAGTTGAAAGCACACAGACAATTATCTGTCATCCAAAAATTCTCTAATGTTTCCAAAAAATCCCCAAGTTTGAAATTTCTGATATTAGCAGAGTAGCCTAGGCCTGCCGATGTATTTACTGCCATTCTGGACATGTCTGTGGAGTACATTTTCCACCTTATTTTCTTCTTTAAAAGTCATGGAAACTAATCATCATGGACATCATGGCTTTTCTTGCTTGAACTTCTCAGTCCATTGAAGATGGTTCTAAACAGAAGAGAACATCACTCCAAACTCAAGATCTTTTCTCCATTTTGAAACAATGCTTAGTGACTGGTGTTCTCCATCCATATATTTCCAGTCCTGTTCTTAATCCAATTGCTGTAAATTTTTGTCTCTAGCCCAGATTTCTACTCTGACTTCCAAACCTGTATATTTAAAGCCAGCAACATTCCCTCTTAGAATGTTGCAAGTTATCTCAGATTCTTAGTGCAAACCCCAATCTCCTGATCTAGTCTTCAAACTCAGCTATTTTTCAGGGCAAATGGCACTGCAATCCATCTGGTTGGATAAATCTGAGACTTGAGGGACATCTCAATACTGTTCTCTACACTCCATCTTCTAAAATCCATTAATATAAACCTCTTGATTGTATTCATTTAACTTCCCAACATCTTTTTGATGTTTACACCTTTTTCATCTTACTGATTTCCTTCAGTTGAATTAATTGTTCAGCTGATTTCTTGCCATAGAATGCTGGTCACTTTTCATATTCTCAGCAGTGTTGTTCTTCTCCCAAAGACAATGAGATATATTTGTAAAACATTGGATAAAGTAGATTATTCTCATTTCTACCCATAAATTCTTACTTAGAGAGTGAAGACACAGAATCTCTATCCTGGTCTTTAATTCTCCTCTTTGGCCTCTAGAATCCAGCCATGATGACTTTTTTATTTATCTGGAGGTCCCTGCTTCTGTAAGATTTAGGACAACCTTTTGCCTACTTAGCTCATCCTTCAGGTTATAGCCCTGAAGACTTTCCTCAGAGAGGCTTTTCCTTCCCTCTGAACCAGGTTGGCATTTCTTCACAGTTTTTACTGCATAAGATAATAATAGACATAGTGATTTCCCGATTAACACTATTCTACACCCTTATAAGGAAAGCCTCCTTTATTTTGCCCCAGTTTTGACAAAGTGTTTGAATATAGCAATAGAGTTATACAAACACATAATAAACTGAGTTGATAATGCGCTTACTTTGGATTATAATATATAATCACTCTGATCATCATACTTATGTAATCTTAGCCTCCTGGAACTGTATCAACTCCTATGTACTTTACAATTGAGTAGAATTAAACAAACCACAGAAACTCTATATTATGTCCTGTACACTTGAAACAACTCTTATTATCTATTTCATCCTTTTAGACAGGGTTTAAATTGCTTCCATTCTGATTCTTGAGTTTACACAGAAGTGTCTTCATGGCCTTCATCATCCAGGAAAATATAGATAAAATGCTTGTTGGAGAGCAATTTAGAATTAAGCAAGCTAATTTATTATGCCATCATTTTATTTGTAGTCTAGGAGTTAATAATGCTAAAAATAATAGGCATAGGATTTATTTCTCTGGTAAAATGCTATGACACAATACAAGTATATTAAACATTATATTGTAGATTAATATACAAAGGCAAGAGCAACCAATCTGCACAAATAGGATTAGATATTGGTGCAAGACTCTAAGTGTTTGGAAAGCATTTTTACATATTTCTACTAACAGTTTTTATATGCTTAAGTAAATTGCCAAGTTAAAAATCAGTGAGCTGCATCAAAGTCATTTGATTAGGTTTTAATGCACATGAAATTGAGTTACAGTTTACAAATCAATTTTGCAAGTTTTATTACAATGCATTGAAGGTCAATGCCTACTTTCACTCAGTTTTCAACAGTTACTCCCCACCCTCCCCAAGACCACCTAGTAGCTCTCTTAAACTAATGACCACATAGGCATTTATTTTGCTCCTGTAGTTTAGTCACATCCAAGGTGGTACAGATGGTCTTTTCCGCACCACTAGGTTAATGTGACCATGTTGTATTGCATTGCAGATTTAGTTGTCTTCAAGTAGTTCATGCGGAAAGAATATGCATTGAGAAATTTGTGCACTGCTATACTTCCTTAAGGGATGGAATATAACATTTAGATAAGTGTAACTGTTGTGCCTTTTAACTCTCAAAATGTCTTGCTAATTCTTCAGATTTTATTAAATTTACTTTCTTACTTGGACAATTAGATTTTATTTAGTCTTGTGTCTACTAAAATAGTAAACCTGAAATAGGAAAAAAA